AAGGCTTGACTTCTGATACCAAGCAAGAGCTGTAGTTGTGAGCCCTAGGTTGTCTTCTCTGTAGGAACATAGAGGTTTTGGGGTTCAGATAGTATAACTAGAGCGGCTACTGCTTGCTTAACCTCAGAAGGATCTCGGGTGATGATGCAGGGCAGGTACAGTACTTGTATGTAAGTGTAATAGCCTCAACCTTAAACTACCTTGCATTAGGGCACATTTTGAGAGAATGGAGTCATGATGCTATGCCACCTCATGTCTATATGGGCCAACTGTATGCAAGCTATCAACTGGCCATCTAGTATATTAAACCTACTTCCTGAAGGCAGGAATAGGTCTGTTAGAAAGTTTTTCCAGGCTGTATTCTCATTTAAGTAAGAGTGTATTTGCTGCCGAGAAGCTCAGTTTGCAGTACATTATTGCAGTAGCAAGAATTTAATCCTAGTAATGCTACAGGTAATTAGCCTGGCTTTGAGCTATTTAACAGCAGTAGGATACGAGATACATGATGGAACTCATGTATAAAAATGACAATAAGGCTGAGGCACTCACTTTGCCACATAGCTGGTTGGTGGGTCTGCTGTGGATATTGTGAGAGGTAAGGCTGAGGCATTCACTTTGCCACATAGCTGGTTTATTGGTGGGTCTGCTGTGGATATTGTGAGAGTTCGAGATAAAGTACTATGTTTTTCAGAGTGTCTGAAAGGCACCAGGTAAAGAAGAACTTAACTTGTATATGACAGTGATATCACCACTATTGCTTTTACCTAACCCTTCATCATGAATCTTTGGCTTGATCTAAGGGAAATAATCATCACCCCGTTTGTGCTGCTTTTTGATTTTGTATTGACACTTCATGTTTACATCAACCTATTGTTCTCAACCTAAATCTTGTGGTGGAGAGGAACCCAGTAATATGATTAATACTGATGATCAGGGGTGAACTGATAGTACAGCTTTACATCCCTGGAGTATTTTAGAGACAGTTTTTATTTACAAGGCTATACTTTGTTTTCAGAGGATGAAAGAAATATGAAAGAAATCCAGTTAGTATTTACAAGGACTGTTGCTTTATAAATGGGAATAATCACACACTTTTTAAATGACAGTTCACCTCCTGCTATTCATTGTTTTAAAAACTTCCCATTAAAGACTAGCTGCAACCTTGCACAGGATCTCAAGTAGCTTATTTCAGTAGTGTTTAGTTACAGCTAAGTCGAGCTTCATCGTACTTTAGTGGCACATAGATAATACATGTGTGCAGCAGTACTATATAGCTATTACATTGTATTTAAAATATTTTTATCCTGCCTTTCTTCTTAAAAAGAACCCAAGGTGGCTTGGATTTAAAATGACCAACATCCCATAACTTGCTCCTGCCAGTTTAAGTCCATTGGCAGCAAATCAGCACAATAGAAATTTAGGTATTTGCTGTCACGCACAATTTGTTACCTGGTGCATAACAATGCCTGTGCCAACGACTTAAATGGTGACAAGTTGCTGCTCAAATTTACACAAAAGAATTTATGCCTGCACAATTTTAAAATTGGATTCTGGCCAGTGCTTTCATAAAACAGTAAAATGGACCTCATATGCTGCTGTTAGTTTATGAGTTGTGAAGCTGATGCATCTTTACCTGCAAAGTTTACAAAGAATAACTTGGTTTAGAATTAACAGTTCCATCAATTTTAGTCATCTCTGTGCACCCTCGCCAAGGCAGTAGTAGCGTTTGGTGTGTTTTGCAAACATTTAGAGGAATGTGTAGATTAATTTTTCTGTACTTAGTAACCAGACCAAAATAACTTTTCTGCATCTGCCATAAAATGCCATTTTCAGCTATATCGAACCAATTTCATGAGAAGTGTAAGCATTAATTGAGAATCTGGCTGAAATCCTGCTGTTTAGCATAATAGGCCACAAATAGAGTAGGCCATTGAATTTGTGGGGATTTTATGAGTCAACTTCTCCATAAATGCCATTGATTCAAATGGGCCTACTGTAGTTGCAGTTTAGTAAGTCAGAACTAGATTAGGCCTATTTCAACAAAATAAACTCATGAAGGAGCTGATTCATCAAATCCCTATAGATTTGACTTATGTTAAGTAGCTGCATTTTACCCTTTGCAATGCTGCACAGTTCTGCAGACAGAATCCTGAGCAAAATACCTTGTAGACAAATGTTCTAATCTTGGCACAGGTTAAAATAAAGACTGCATTTGGTGCAGTTCTTATTTATTTTGAAGTATATTTATGCACCACATTTTTCATGGTAATTCAGTTTGATAACTTGATAGAATCAAAGAATAATTGAGTTGGAAGGGGCCTATACGGCCATCAAGTCCAGCCCCCTGTTCAATATGATCCTGCCATCCCCTATTGCTATATATGTTTAACACAGAAATTGCAAACATGTTCACTCATTAAGGGTACTGTATGGTTTAAGCTGGTTTCCAGTGTTTAGCCCAGAAGGAACACATACAGCCTGAATAAGGTATTCCTCAAATGTAAACTTAAGTCAACCATATTATACTTCATGGCACTGGCAGATGTAACTTGACAAGCTGCTGCCTTCAAATAAGAGTTGCTTTTCTTATATTAAAAATTATACCTATTCTGAGATGTGCTCAAAATTGACATTTTGGCACAAGGGTGACTTCAAACAGATTATTAGCAATAATTTGCACACAGGTTATCAAGACATAAAAAGGAAGTAGCAACAAACCATTTACTTACTAAATGAATTCATCTGGCCAGAGTTGAAAGCAGAGCTGTAAACTGTGCACCAATGCTTAGTTATGGCAACATGAGTTATTCTCAGGTTGAGGGTGGGATGGAGTAGTCATTTCAATTATTTGAATCCTAAATCCAACTGTGAAATAGTACTATGTTGGGACATGGTTTATATTCATTGAAACCACCTACCTAATATTGTGTATGTGCTGCCAAAACAGCTTTGATGCATCGAGGCACAGACTCCACAAGGCCTCCGAGTGTCCTGTGGTATCTGGCATCAAAGCATTAGCAATAGATTCTTTATGGTCCTGCAAGTTGTGATATGGGGTCTCCACAGACTGGATTTGATGTTCCAACACATCCCAAGGTGTTGCTGAAAGAATCCACTACCATCAGGGAACACCGTTGCCGTGAAGAGGTGTATGTGGCCTGTAACATCGACATGAATGCCAGGACCCAAGTTTTTCCAGCAGAACAATGCTCACAGTATAACACTGCCTCTGCTGGCCTGTCTTCTTCCCAAGTGCATCCTGCTGCCATCTCTTCCCTAGGTAAATGATACACACACGCCCAGCCATCCACCTGATCTCAAAGAAAACATTTATTGGACCAGGCAACCTTCTTCCATTGCTCCATGGTCCAGTTCTGTTGCTCACATCTCCACTGTTGGCACTTTCAGTGGTGGCGAGGGGTCATAATGGGCACGTTGACCAGTCTGTGGCTATGCAGCAAACTGTGATGCGCTGTGTGTTTGGAGACCTTTCTATCATGGCCAACATTATTTCAGCAATTTGAGCTACAGTAACCAGTGTGATGGGACCAGGCTAGCCTTCACTCCTCATGTGCATCAGTGACCCTTGGACATGTGCAACCCTGATGCTGGTTCACTGGTTGTCCTTGCACCACTGTATACTGGGAACACGTCACAAGACTTGTTTTGGAGATGCTCTGACGCACTTGTCTAGCCATCACTAGACCCATGTCAAAGTCACTCAGATCTTGCTTGCTCATATTTCCTGCTTCCAACACATGAAATTAAAGAACTGACCGCTTGCTGCCTAACATATCCTACCTCATGATAGATTCCATTGTAACAATATAATCAATGCTATTTGCTTCACCTGTCAGTGGTTACAGTGTTGTGGCTAATGAGAGCATTTTTACAACATTTTAGCCATGCCTTTCATAACAGAAAAGGAGGCATTAACAAGTCCATAAGGATACAAACCCTTCACCAACTGAGCTTCTCCCATGCAAATGCCTTTTAAAGTAAATGTGACTGATCCATGACAGAAACAGATGAGTTATTTCTTGTAACTGCTCAGCTGTGAGTAGAAACACTAAGGTAAAATACATAATTATTTCTGTATTCTCTGGTGCAGTGTTTACACTGCAGTGCTGCAGTCAAGCCTCTGCTCATGATTGAGTTTGATCCCATCAGACTTAGGTAGCCAGACCAGTGTTGATTCAGCCCTCCATTCTCCTAGGATCAGTAAAATGAATACCCAGCTCAATGGGGAACAAAGTGCTGTTTGCATAATTAAGTTGTAATTTAGCACTATGGGGCAGTATATAACTTGAAAAAACAACAATTAGCAGATTAGGGGTGTGAACATTTTTGATACATTGACCCCTAAATAACATATATATATTGCCAACTACATCTCCAAAATCTTTTAAAGATCTAGACATAAACCCAGTTGCTAGTCCCAAGCAAAGTATATCCATTGACTCAACTGTTACAAGAGTCTGAGCACATTTATGAAAATTCTACTGATTCAGTGGTTCTTTCTAACTGGGATTATCAACATGATTTGAGGCCCTAGGATTTCAGCAAACCAGGACAGTATCAGAAATCCTACAAATCCCAACAACATTAGGCTTGCCCCCCAAGACCCCATGAAGAATATGCTCCTGAAAATTACCTTGATTTTATTAATTGCTGATGTTCTGTGACACAACAGTTGACTTTAATGTAAATATATGAACTATTTCAGATGTGAAATATGCAAGGTGATGTATAGTGGACAGCATTTGATTTGATGCACACAAACTGGGATGTAAATTCTTCATTGGCCCTGAAACATGAACAGTGAGAAGCCTTGGACAAGTCACCTTCACTCGACTTAGCTTTTCTTGGAGTAACTGTGAAAGAGTGAAAAATTTGAAGTTTCCCATATGACACCTTGAGCTCTTGAGAAGCATGCTGGAATACATGTGGGATAAGCCAGATATGTAGAAGGATTGCTTTTTATAATAAAAAAGCACGAGAAGTTTTATATAAGCATTTATTTACAACTTGTTTAACAACTGTACACTAGTTTTGTAGCCTTGGAAGCATTATTGTCTTTGAACTGAGGGGAGGAAACAAAATGTCTAAACTTAAGTCCATTATTACTGTTCATATACAGATGTATTAAAATCACTACCATGGCAACATGGTACAAAATCATTTGCAAGAAGGGTGGAAAGGTAAATATTTGGTGGCCTTAGGGATTAATTCTTTTACAGAAAAAAAATCACTTGGCAATTCACAAACTGATTTTGGTAACCAGTCAACACCTAGTTTAGGACAGTCAAACAAGTTGCTATAGCAAAAATGAAGAGTGGCAACTGAATACTACATAAACCCACAGAAAATGATATGTTGAAAACATGCTTAGAATCTCAGAAATCTGCAGTCACACAAGAATGGTGACACTAAGGAAATCCAAACCATTTCCAAGACAGCCCATGCCTACTGGAGGTTAGAAGCAAAATCTCACATTCCTCTACTTTATCAAGGGATCTATAATGTTTTTAGGGCTTTGGGGGGGGGGACCAGAGGCAGATCCAAGCAGCGTCTAACCTCTGGTCAATTTTGTTATCAGGCCAAATGTGTCACGATCAGGCAAAACAAAAACAAAATAAAAAACAAAACCTCCATACACAACAAAACCTCCAGACCATCCATACCATATAGCCACAAGGCGACTCGCTTACAAATAACGAATAACAGAAAATATATGCAAAGGAGGCAGCTGCGTGTGTGGGTGGGGAGGGGATATTGATTTTCATCATTGGAGGTAGCCCAAATACTTCAGGCAACCTCCCCATGACAGTTTAATGCTGAATGCTAAACTACCCCAACGGCCCTATCACAACTGCCAGCCCAAACAAGCCCATTCACCTAAAGGCAACCATCGTAAGCAACCAAAGAGAGCCCCTGTATCCTATCAGCAACTCTTCCCTACAAGAAAAGAATTTATTTCAAAGGAGGGTACAAACATTTCAGGGAGCAACAGGGAATTGTTGCCTTCTACAGTACTTTCATCAGGAGCTTGCAGGAGGATACCCCACCCCCAGTTCTGCCTTGTTCTCCTTTGTGCCTGTTGGAACAGTGTTAATGATGAGAACGAAGAGAACGTTCACAATGGTTCTATTTACAAAACAGCTGGGAAGAGCTGCACCTTACCCCAGGACTGCCATGCTATCATGCAACTAAGGAATACTGAAATGCGGAGAAACTAGTCTTTCATTCAGAATGATCAAGCTGAAGACACAATTCTACCTACCTACAATAACAGACCTACTAGTGTTTGATGTAGATTAACACAGACCAGATCCGTTCAACCATGGCTTATGCCACACATTTTGAATTCTGCTTCTGTGGGTTCCCATAACTGAGGCACAAGCCTTGCCCCTCAAAACACCCCCTTCCCATTAGGCCCATCAAAATTCAGAAGAGTGAGCTTAGACGACATTGTACAGCTTTGCTGGAAGATTTCTTCTAATCACACTAAAACTAGTCCCTTCATCTTCATTTGAGTATGCAGGGCAGGTGAATCTGTGGCCCTCCAAATGTTCCCCACATGCTGGCAAACTACTGCTACTGTCATCACTGCCTAGGCTCGCAGGAGCTAACAAGAAAGAGTTCATCATTGCCATCTATAGAGCTGCATATTCTCCAGCCCTGATGCGGACAGTTGTTATGGCTTCAGAGTGGGGACAAATAGCTGAAGGCATCCAAGCCAAATGCTGTTGCCTAAGTGGTGTTGACTGCCAACTAAGAGGCAAGGAGGATGCAAAGGATGGATGGCCCAGGCAATGGGATATACTGACATTTTGGAAGAAACAAGGCTGACGGCTAGCCTAGCACCTTCTATCTCTTCCTCAAACCGTCTCTCCCACACCACAAGTAACAGACCAGAGGTTATAATAGGCCCCTTCCCCACAGTGTGGTATGGTAGAGGTAACAGTAATGATACAAACACAATCACTAAACAATATACCCTCAGGCTTGCTATCATATTGCCACGGTTCCTATATCTGCCTTAATACAAAACTGAATCTACAGCAGCACAAGCAGATACTTAAGAGTGTAATAGGGAAAAACAGCAGCTTTAAAATTTAAAAAGGCAGCACATAGCATTCCAAGTTATACTGTCAACATACTGTACATGAATAATAGTAATATTTCATAATGTAAAGAAAGACAGACGTGTTAGTGCAATCTGACAGGAATTAAAAGACAGGGTTGAAGGGGGAACTCAAGATAAATACAGATAAACTCAACCAGCAATCTGTATCACATATAACACTGAAATCCAGGAAGAATGTTCCTTTTATATTAATGACCTCCATTCATGTTCCTTTCTGGAGCCTGCTTGTACATGAATATATAATGGTGAAAAACGAGACCTCCAAAAGGAAATGTACAAGTCAGCTAAAGGAGATTTTAAAAAAGGCATTAAAAGGATGTAAATATATTAAGACAGTATGCAAAATCAATAAATAAAATATTGCATATAGTGTGTGTCAAGGCTTGGAGATTTAAATTATTAAAAAAGGAGAAGGGGTCAGGCACCACTCCCTATGTATTTTCTCCAAGAGGAAATCTTGTTTACTTTCCTGGAAGGTTTTTTTTTTTTTAAAGTATACATACATACATACATATATAGTACTGAACAATGTGGCTCTTTTAGTGCACTTTTAAAATAATAGCAGTAAACAAAGGTGCATTTATAAAATACATTTTAAAATGCTTCTAGTTCAGCAAATGGAAGATGTTGCAAAAGACTTGCAATGTATGTTAATACTGTTAAGAAAGAATGCAAATTGTAGTAACAGAAGCAGCAACGCAAGGTAACATATTAAGTGCTACAGGAGCTTGAGAATCCTTCCTCTAGTACACATGAATATCACATTTCAATGTCTTGCTGTCTGAGAGGGATTAAGGGATTTATTACTCTGGAGGGTTCAACAGAAGAAGGCAAGGTCATGCCTAGAGAAAAATTTATTTTCCAAGCAAATTGGCTCTTTGAAAACAGGCACCCAGGAATGCTAGCTTACAGTTTTTGATTCTACATTATGGACACGGAGACAAGGTATGTACTGAACAACCCTAAGCCAATGAAGACTGCAAAAGGCAGGATGGGTCACTGCAAATGGAGGTAAGAAGCAGCCTCTGTTTCATTCCTGTTGAGATGTCTGTTAAAGACAGAAATGCAACTGCCATCACCTTAGCCAGAGTCCTCTGAAGAAATTTAGCAGATCTGTGATGCTTAGTTACTGACCACCAAATTTTATATGCTGAAACTTTCCTACTGCAATGAAAATGATCCAAGCATTATGTATAAATGCATTTAAGAGCTGAGATTACCTCTGTAAATTATTAGCCTCAACATGTGTTTAGTAGCCTGGTTTCCTATATACTGAGAGCCTAAATGGACCAACACTCTTCCACTTTAAATGTTCTCTCTGCCTGGTTGCTTGGCAATTGATTCCCCTCCCCCCTAGCCTATTGGATAGCAAATAAAATATGATCATTCAATATGTTCCCCTCAAAAAAGAAAAAAGGCAATCTTGAAATGGGAGAAGTTAAAATCACATTGTGTAGATAATGGAAGGCCTCTGTCTCATGATATGCTTCTTCCACATCAATCCTGACAACCCCCCCTTGTTTTTCAGGCTACAGATCTGTTGTGTCTAACTCAAACGGACATTTGCAACATTTTAAGAATACTCAAATTAATCTGCTGCACCACACACAAGTGGCACTTAAAATGAACAGATTTCTTATTGCATGAGCTCTCAAGACTAGGGCCATGTCATCACCTGCATTCTGATTTTCAAAGATGGATCAGTTTCTATTCTGTTCCAACTCATCAAAAGGAACAAACCAGAGACAGTTCTAGCCAGTCTTTACACCAAGAAAATCATTTTCAGATATAATTTCTTTGTGACAATGAGATGAATTATACAGTGCAGATGGCCTGACGTTCAGCACATGATAACAAATGCTGGCTGAAATCACACTGAAATAGAATATTGCATCCTAATCAATGGGGATATAGTGAGTCAATTCCCTGGCTGTCAATTCTCTTTGCAAGGAAAGAGATGGAGCACAACCTTCCTTCTCTCCCATGCAGACCTGGCACAGATGCATGTGGAAACACACATCATATGGAACATTACCTTGGCCTGCGTGGAGTGCCTAAACCCATTTCGTCATTACACAAAATATGGCCGAGAATTTGCTCTGTGTATGAACCAATTTGAAACAAATTATGCCTCTTTGCTATAGTCTGCTCTCATGGCTAAAAGATGGATGTTCCTCCTCTATCTGATTAAACCTTCCTGTTAAAGTATATTCGACAATGAAAACAGAAATATCACCTATGCGGTGTACTAGGAAATTATAAAATCAGTGTATGGTTTTGATCTAATGTAGAAAAGAGTCTTGTGACACCTTATATACTAACAAGATTTATTTGACAGATGACTTTGTGGGCTGTAGCACACTTCTAAGTGAGGCTACGATCTATAAACATTTATGTCTAATAAAATGTGTTGAAAAGTCAGAGGATTTTGTTGCTTTTGCAGCAGATTAACATGGCTACCTTCTCTGACATTTTACATACTTTGAAGTGTGAATCTGATATACACATTTTGGATGTTCCCCATATGTTCTAATATCAAATTTAACTGCAGTCATTATCCACTGAATACAGTGTACTTCTAGATCTAATGTTGGCAGAATCTGACCTTCCATTGGCCAAAGTCCTATTTTTCAAGTACGGGCACAAAAGCCTATCCCAAATTCTAAATTTGATGCAGAAAGAGGACAGAATGAACTTTTAATGATAAGGGGAAAAAAGGGGGAGTGGAATTACACTTGACAGATTTGCACATGTCTAGACATCCCATATGTCTATGGAATACATATTTTTGCAATACTGAAGTACAAACCAGTCATTAACACTACTTTACCAATGGGAAATTCTGAAAAGCTCTTTAAAAATGCATGGGCATTAAGTGTTTATGGATTATTTTCATTCCACCCCAGAGACATAGCTTTAAAGGATGGTTTTTTTTCTGCCTTTACAGCAAGATCTGCACATAGCATAAAAACAAAAGTATTCTGGTCTGTCCGGTACATTTAAGCTGTCTAGAAATTAATGGCATCTCTTAATTTTACTGCAGCTAATGTCTCATTAATTTCAATAGGACTTAAGTGCAATTAACTTCCAATGGATATTTTCTTGATGGTTGCATGGCATTGTTTTTCATGATCTATAAGTATGCACATTCAGTTCTCAAGGGATCTACACAAAAATGAAGAATGGCATATTGACATTTCACTACACTGGAGGGTGACTTTGCCAGCCACTTGAGTCAAAGCCAAAAATAAGCCAAAGTGCAAAAGCAGTGCATACATGCTAGATGAGAAACACAGAAAAAGGTGGGAGAAACAGATGCAATGAAAAATAGAAGAAAATTCCAGTACCAATCAACTGAAAAGGGAAAGCCAGTAAAGACAGCAAAACAGAGGAACAGGTGGATTCAACTATAAAACCAATGTTGTATCTGAGTTTCCTTCAGATACAGAGCTAAATAATGGGGACAGTTTTATCAGATTAGCACAATAGGCTGCAGAGGGTGGGAGGGATCATTTTATCTCTCTGGCTAAATAATGTATTTCATCTATGTATAGAAGCAGACAGCTGGCAAAATTAAAAATGCTACACCTGTAGCAAAGTGTTGGTTGCTTCAGGCTTTACCCTAAAACAAGTCTATTTAACACTAGCAGCTGCCCCTTCGCTGCCCCTTCATACCAAAAAATAACCAGTCCAATCGGCATAAAAAGACAGGATGCCCTCCTAATTATTTTCTTTGAAGATATGCATGTAAAATACAAAGCAATCATCCTCAATCTTTTCTAGCTCCTTCTCCTCTTTTGCTGCTGTAGGGAAAGATTGCCAGTGTAGCAAGTCAATTATTCTCAGGTTTTTATAATCATCATTATTTTCTGCACAGTGGGGTAATATCGGTCTACTTCACCAAACACTGAAACTATACTACAGAAGACTAACAAATATACATTTCATTTTATCATCACCCTTCACATACAGGATCTGACAGCTCCTTTTATGTGCTAGGGTAATGGTGAATAAAGACAGACACCATTTTTTAAATTAATATTTGTACTGTGCATTCTGGCAAAAGGAAAAAAAAGGGTGCAGGGTTAAACATTTTACACCTAACCATCATAATATAATCTAGATGCACTTCCAAGTGAAATGCACCTCTGCTGCCTACATTCTTGGAATACTTTTAAACTGAGCTACCTTTGGAAGGAGGTAAGATTTGCCTGTCAAAAGTCAGGCAAACTAAAATATATATTTAAATATGACACTGAACATCCAAGCTATTCTTAGTTGTGAATCCAAGCAGATGTGCTCATTGTGAGTAGTCCCACATACTTAAAACACCAATTTGAAAAAGCATCTGTATGGCTCAATATTTAGGGTTCAACATCTGGTAAGATAAGAATCTGTTTGTGAGAGAGACCTGTAATTGCATAGGCACGCATTAAGATTTGGCACACAAGAAGAGTGCTTTTTCAGGTCAGACGCATCTTGCTTGAAGACACTGGTACCATCGGAAAGGCAATTAACTGTCCTCTTTCTCATTAACTTATGAAAGAATCACCACTGGTAGATAGCAATTCAAAGTCAACATCTGCCAAAAACATCTGACCTGATCTCTCAAGGAAGGGGAATCAGCTGACTGTTTCCTACACAGTTGTAGTTCAGAATTTTCTCTATCTTTATGACTGAGTTGCACAGCAAGTAAAGATCACCGTGCCTGCAGTTCTGGAGATTTCCTAGCAGTTGGAGAAATTTTGCTAACATCTCATTGCAACTTAAAGTATGGATGACCAGTTCTCCACCTGGTTAGAATGCAGGAGGGGAAGACAAAAATGCAGTAAATGGTTGTGACCATTTAATAAAGGTTTGCTAGTTTCCATTAATCGTATCAACCAAGAATAGAACCAACTCTTCAAAACATTTAAACCTGAAAGGACAAGAGACAAAACGTACATGGAAAGGCAAACAATTAGCCTGCCTCTCTAAATTAAAGCTAAGGGAAGGAGTAACCACAGCCAAAGTTAAGAAATTATCTGATCAGGTACTTGCAACTTCTGCCAGCATCCAGACATTTGCAACAAATGCATTTCACAATAATCCTGTGCAGCCCTGTTATGAATTGTATTACATAATTTAAACAATCAGATTAGAGTGAGAAGGAAAAGGAGAATAATTCCCTTTATACAATGGTAGCCTTGGAAAGAATGGCAACATCATTCACCAACAGGAAATCTTATGTTCTCTACTGAGCCACCACTGGCTTTCGGGCAAGAGATGACAATTCTGTACAAATAGAGAGGGGAGAAGAGATTCCATGATTACACTCCACCTGGTGTTTTTTCAACATTTTGGCACATCAAAAGGCAATAGAAAGACTCAAAAAATTAAGAGTGAAAGGAATTAATAACACTCTGAAACTTTTCTTTAAAAAAAAAGACCTTCTTGAAACAAGAAGTTAATGTAGGAACAAAGATACAGAAAAGATGCTGGCTAAGTTTCCTGAAATGCTGTCACTTGTAATCAAAGTAGGTCTTGATCCCATGATGGCTTCCCTTCAAAAAAGGCAAGGCAAGGCAAGGCAAGGCCTTCCTCTACCTGGCTGTAGCTGGCTGGACGTGGCCAGGATAAGCTCTTCTTGTGCTGGTGGCTTGCCTTTGTCTAGCCAGAAAGGACTGTCCTGAACCCGTACTAGCAAGTCTGTCCTCTGCTGCTTTTTTATGAAGAGTCATCCCCTGTGCAAAGAAAGGGATAACAAAAACATGTGTTAGGTTATTTTATCTGGTGTGGTCAGTAGGCTGCTGAAATGTGTCCAGAGAAGGGAAACAAAGAAATGCCTGAGGGAGCTGAGTGGTTTAGCCTGGAGAACAGAAGACTAGGAGAGGATGCCATTTTTAATTACAGTGGTGTTCCGCTATACACTTACCCCGCATGATTGTCAAAATCGCTTAACGATGACATTTTTGTGATCGCTACTGCGATCGCAAAATGATGATTCCTATGGGGGAAATCCGCATTACGTTGATTAGGAGCCTGCTTTGCGAACTGTTTGTTTGCTATATGATAATTTTTCTGGTTCCACAAAATGGCTTCCCTCCCTTCCCAAAATGGCTGCTTGCTGGAGGGAAGCTTCGCATTACAGTGATTTTGAACAGCTGATCGGCGGTTCTCTATGGGCAATCTTCGCTGGACGATGAGGTATTTCCCCCACTGGAATGCACTGACCAGTTTTCAATGGATTCCAATGGTTTTTTTTTTTGTTTGACGATGATATCGTTTAACAGTGATTTTCCTGGAACGGATTATCGTCATCAAGCAGGGCACCACTGTATACGAAGGGCTGCTTTGTAGAAGAAACTGTGGTCCTCAGATGTTGTTAAATTCTTGTTGGCTCCCGCCAGCATGATCAATGATGCAAGATGGTGGAAACTGTACCCTGTTGACATCTATAGGGTACACATAGATCTGATACACAGTTTTCCTACTCCTGGTCTATGCACTGTATATGAAGAAGCTAAAGCCAAGAGATTGTAGGTGACATAAAAAATTCATAGCTGGGATGAGAGAAGAATGGAACTGAGGACTTCCTAGTGTAATTTCTTAGATCCGACTATGCAAGGATACAAGGTTTTCACAGCTGGGTTGAAACTTGCTTCCCAACCCTTCCCTGCTGATTAACTCAAAGAGAGAAATAAAAATGTGTTATGAGGCACAGCTTTATTCCTGTCTCCATCTTTCCTTCATATTGCTTAAGTGATGCAAAGTAACAGAGAACTTGTTCTTAAATGATAAGATTCTGACAACACCCTCTGTTTCCTTAACAACACCCCTGATTAAAACACAGGGAAGTGTCATCCATGGCAGATAATCCCAGGGTTTTTTCTCAGCACATCCCTGTGACCTTTCTTCTGATATTGCTGACTTCCACACAGATTTTAAATTTGGTTGGGATGCTGGGGAAAGAAAAGGCAAACACAACAGCAGCAGCAATATTGGTACATTCTTTAAAGTACATTCGTGTGTTTCACCAAAACCTCCACCTTCACTATCATCAAAGAGCCAAACCAGACATGGTACATTCATTGTGTGTATATATGAATGTGTCTGAACTGTTTTCACATAAAGAGAAAATGTGTGCCTGTTTTTCACATGCAAAAGACTGTATGAGGAGAACAATTAACAGAAATGTGTCGCTTATTCTACTTGCAGCATTACTCCATGGAGTAAGTAACACATTACGCTTTACACAAAACTTTCCCTTCTCATACAGAAACAACAGGAAAAGTAAGGACACGGTTAGCCAGCACCTCTCAAATAAAGCCACAGCAATACAGAGGCTGGAAAGGATAAACTTCTGCACCAAAGAATTGCTTGATAGCTCAGTGGTTTAGGTTTTTGGCTGTGGAGCCAGAGGTTGGGAGTTCAATTCCCCACTGTGTCTCCCTGACAGGGGCTGGACTCAAGGATCCACAGGGTCCCTTCCAGCTCCACAAGTCTGATATTATTATTATTCAAAAATGCCAAACACGGTCAATCAAATTATAAATACATTGATTGGTATTATGTAATAGATATAATTTTTTAACAAAAACACAGGTATCTGTAACATATCAGTGCAGTATGTGTGCTGCTCCTAATACTGCTGTTTGGCATAGCTCTGATGGTGTTATTTCTGAGATCTACAACTGTTAGTATACTGTGTAAAATTTCTTGATATTGTATCCCAAAGCCCTGATGACTACGGGGACCACTGAAGTGTTTCATCCACAAGTGAGATGTTTCGATTGCCAGATCTCTGTACTTTGATAGTTTTTCCAATTCTTTATTTTCAACTCTGGCATCCCCTGGAATTGGATTCCAGACATTTCTTTATTCTATTACTACTATGTCTGCTGTGTTATTTTCAAGGTGTCTATCAGTTTGGATCCAGAAATTTCACAAGATCCTGACTCTGTCATTTTCTGACACCTTCTCTACCTGATATTCCCACAGGCTTTTGGAGTCTGGCAAGTTCTATTTTTGCATAACGACCAGTGCACTAATTTTACTACTCTATCATGTCTAATTTTGTAATCTGCTTGTGCAATCCTTGAACATTCATAGATGAGGTGTGATACAGTTTCATCTTTTTCTTGCCAGAGTCGACATTTGTTAGCACTAATGCCTTGGATCGTGGCTTTCATCAAATTGGTTTGGAGTGCTTGTTCTTGTGCAGTAAAAATCAAGCCTTCGGTTTCTTTCTTAATGGTCCCTAGTTTTAGTCATGCCCATGTTTAATTATCATCATGCTTTCCATCAATATTTCTCAGGTGTTGTCGATGTAGTGGTTTATTTTTCCAACTGTTTAATTTATTTTCAAATTGTTTTTTTTTGTATATTGAGCCTTGGTTTCTGTTGTTTTCAAAATATTCATTTTCACTGCCTTAAGTAATTTGTCTATATTTGTACTAATACAATATAATAATTTAGGCTTCTTTTTTCTTCCTCTACTATCTACTGTATCTCCAGTAATCCCCAGCCTCCAATTTTTCATAGTAAATATAATCAGTCCACATCACTTTTTGGATGTAGTAAGTGATGCATGTTCATTAGTTTCCGTGTTTTTCGAGCCAATTCTTCTAGTTCGTTTTGAGTCCAATCGATTATTCCAGCTGGGTATCTAATTACTGGAACTGTCATGTGTTTATGGCTTTGACTGTATTTCCAGCATTTAATTTTGATTTTAAGATTTTCTGCAGTATTTTGATATATTCCCTTTTTGTCAGTTCTTCAACTTTTCTGTGCAGGATGTTTTCTGGTTCTACTATTCCAAGGTATTTAGAATTTCCATTTCTTGATAGTGATTCTGTAATAGCGCCATTTTAAATCTCTATTCTGGCTACGTTTTGGATCTTGCCACATTGTATAAACAACAGAGCTGCACATTTGTCAATTCCAAATTTCATTTGGATATTTTCACTAAATAATTGCATTGTGTTTAGCAGTGGTTCTATCTCTGTGGAATTTTTTGCATACAGTTTTAGATCATCCATGTATAACAGATGAGGATGATGATTAGAAGTTGAATTTTGTAATCTGTATTGAAATTGCACACATTTGCATATTCTTTTGCATTTTGTATAATTTATCCTTGTTCTGCTAATCAGGTTGGAAGAACAAGCACTGATATGAGGCACAGAAATCCCATCCCAAATGGTGAAAAAGCAGATGTTTTTGGAGGTAAGAAAATGAAGGCAACTGTTTTTCAGACTTTCATATCTGTTTGCAGGGAAGAACACTCTAAGGATGCTATCCATATTCTTGGGGTGTACAAATTGAACTATATACACCATAACTAGAAAAACAGGTCCAAATACTACATCTACTGGATCTGTATCATCTATGGATGGCAATCAACATCCAGAGAAGTTGCCCACCCACTCATCCATCACTGGATCTTGGAAAGGTGCAGTCACCCCTATGCCCTGTCTACCACCAAAATATTTTTCTTTTAAAATGACTTGTTTAAAAATGGAAAAAGTCCCACCGTGTCCCTACAATGGCCAAATTTTTAAAACAATCGCAACAATTTTGGTAGTAAGGCAACTCCCGCAATGCTGGAGTCCCCCGGGAAATTTGGCAAAATTACCTCCTCATTCCCTAAAGGATACTACAAATCTTTCTGAGCTGGTTTGAGTACTCTTTTTAATTTTGGAGGTATGGGGGGTGCAGGAAGGTCACACTTCATCCCTGATCATCCAAATCAGACATGAGTAATGCTACCCATAACATTGTTACATTGTTACAATGTTACAATGTTCTGCCAAGCAGAACACCTCTTCTTCTCACGATCCAGAGTCCGATAGACTTGATTACCCAAAAGAGATCTGTTGGACTACTCTGTGCAGATGGAATGGTGGTGATGCAAAAGAATTCTGTGGCTGCCACAAAGTATTACATAGTCATTCAAATGGACTCTATCCATGTTCAGTTGGACTTATTGCAAGTTTTCTGCCAGCACTATTCTGGTTGTCACCTCATTTGTTTCATCACACTTCTTCCAGTTCTCTAAAAACCCAGGGAACCTGCCTGGTATTACTCAGAAAAGGACCTTCAGCAATGATTGTGTCAATTTCTTGGGTCATTTCTTCACTACACAGGCCAACCAGCTTCTAAAGGGACATGAACATTTCCAAGAGAAACCCGCTCGGACCTGTTAGCCTCCTAGAAGCTTAATGTCTCTCAAGTCTGAAAGTGATATTTGTTTAACAAAGCATACAGTGCGGTCTTGACTTGAGAACTTACTCCGTATTGGAAGGCGGTTCTCAAGTCAAAAAGTTCTCAGGTCAAATCTGCATTTCCCATAGGAATGCATTGAAAACCATTTGATCCGTATCTGCTCTTTTCTGTCCATAGAAACTAATGGGAAGCTGCTATTCTGGCTCCGACCACTAGAAGGGGATATTTTGTTTCTTTTTTTCTTAGATCAAGAAAGGTTCAGGGAAGGCAGGGAAAATACAGTCCAGGCAGTACAGTACCAGGCAGTCTGAAGACTGTCTCCCAATCCACTCTCTAAACGCTGGGAGGAGTGAGGAAGCAGACAGGCACCCTTTTCACTGGCCAACAGTTAACTGAAAGTTCACATTTTGCACTTTCCCTGCCTCCCACGTGGGTTTTTTTCAGTTCGTAACTCAAATCTAAGTACTTAAGTCAAGTCAATATTTTCCTATGAGAGCGGTTCTTAAGTCAAAATGTTCTTAACTCGGGCCGTTCTTAAGTCAAGACTCCACTGTACTAACATTCAAATAGTATTTTAAGCTGTGCTGCTAACCCTGTTTTGGGGTTTACATTTACTTACCATATTATACCAGGCACTGACAATGAACTTCTCCTCCATTTCTCTTTGACTCTTTGTTTTTTCATATTCTTTCTAATTAAAAAGAAAAAGCACATTTTTGATTATCTGACCTGCATTTTGATTATATAGCCCAGTGGTTCCCAACCTTTGGATCCTCAGGTGTTCTTGAACTACAACTCCCAGAAATCCCGGCCACAATCTAGTGGTGAAGGCTTCTGGGAGTTTTAGTCCAAGAACATCTGGAGACCCAAAGTTGGGAGCCACTAATATAGCATATATATTATTAAGCAAAGTTGCATGATCACATTCATAAAAAAATCATTTACTTTGCTGCATGATCAGGGGATGGCTCCTTGATTGTTTACAGTCAATATGAAAAATATTAATAATTAGTGACTCACAATTAGTGGCACACAAGTTCTCTTTTTTAACCTGCAGCCTATTATAGAAAAACTAGAAGCTCAGGATGAAAAGCTTAGGCAACACAAGACTTTCAAATGCACAACGTAATTGCCAATAAAGTCCAACCCAACGTGTGCAAACCTCTTAGTAGGCACCACTGAAGATCAGGGCAACTTATGTCTGAGTAAAGAAGCACAGACTTGCAATACAAATTACCTCTAAAGAATGGAACATCCTTTCCCGTTCCTGAAGTTGATTCTTCAGTGCCTGAATCTCAGGTGCTGACCCCTGGTTCTGTTTGGGATCTAAAGTACGGATAACCTGTAAGGGAAAGAACCACATGCTAAGTATATAATATAGTTCACCAAGATCAATAGCAAAGGAACCTATCTTGTAAGAGGCCGGACTATTTGTTCAATTGGCCTAATACTTCTGCTCTGAATTGCTGCAGCTCTAAAGAACCTCAGGCACAAAACATTATTTTCCACTCCTGCCACCTGAAGTTGCTTAAGTTCTTGCTGGCAAGGGTTGACCTTGCTATCTTCTGCACGCAGTACATGAATTTTACTATAAAGCTATGACCTTGGAATGGCTATTGCTTGCAGAAAGCTAAAATATAATCAGAACAACTACATTAAGTAGCCTGAAATGGAGCTAGCTCAGTTTTATCAAAATTAGAAGTGTTTTTGCTGTCTCCCTTCCTTGTAGCTAGCAGCAATGTACTGTACAATGTGCAGTACATGAGTTTCTTTAAGCCACTTCCGATAGAATGGAGCAGTCCAAACAAAAAGCTGTATGTTTTGAACCCTAAATTAGGAACATATTTGGCAAAGTGACTGCACACCGTTTGTGCTTGCTCTGTACGAAATGTGGACAATGTTGGACAAATATTTTAAAACATCTGATTTCAAACATTCACTACCATTTTTATCAGCTCACAGCACGTTTGGTAGTTATTTTCCAAATGCCTACCACTGCTTCCTCAAAAGGAAGTGATTCCTGCTGTGATCTTAAAAAAAATCAGTTTGATCTCACCTGTCATTTAGAAGACATGGGACCTAAAAGAAGCACACTTAACATAGGAAATTTATGATAACATCTGGCTGTATATGTTCACCCACAGCTATTGGCAATAGTGACTGCCACTACTTCAGGAAACTAATCAGTCTCACTCCCAGAAGTAAGTAATGGGGTTTACTTTTGGGCAAGATGGAAAACTGAGACTTCAGTCTTACCAGAGATGGGTTCTAAGATTTTTCTGTTCCTTGGGATCTGTTTGTGAATGGTAGCGAGTACAAGAGGGGATCCCGAAGACTACTGTGACTGCTGACATTAGTGTTGTTAGTATTCAGGCTGCTCTTTGTTATGAATAGCTTGGCATCCTTTTTCCTGCATGCACTTAGGCACCATATTGCAAAGCAATGTTGAGCCATGTCATGTGTTTTGAAGCACAGATATAGAAGCAATACCCCACAATCATTAAAACTTTTGTGGGTGGATAAGTGGGTGGAAGGAAGGAATTACCTTGATCCCACCTGATATATGTTTAAGACAGGAAAGAGAAGACAATTGTCACCTTTAATATAATATCTGTACTCACACTTTTAGCCTTCTCCAAATATTTTTTGTAGCGTTCTTCCATTTGCTTCATTTCTTCCTCCTTTTTACGTAAAGCCTCTTGCAATTCTTCTATTTTGAGTGCTTTATGAGGAGACAATGCCACATTTCAGAATACTGCAAATACTTAAAAAGGCATGATACTATGATAAAACTGAAAAAAAGTCATCTTATTTAGAGACCTGTCCAGATTATTTTGTAAAGGAAATGCAACACTTTAAAAATAGGAGAGTGCTTCTGGCTTCCAAATACGTATTTCCAATAACATAGGCATACTTTTCAAACTATTTAGACATACATATGCCCCATTATTTGGCCCAAAATATCTTAAAACTTAAGTTTCTCCTCCCAAAATACTACACATGTAAATGCCAACAATTTTGTAAACCACTTTCATAGCTGCCAATTGAAGACCAGTATAGCAATCTGGTTAAATAAAATGCTTTTTTCCCTCATCCCTTACTGATAAAGAAAAGGTGAAACCCAAATTCAGAAACAGCAATAAGAGCTCTCTTGCAGATTTCAACAAGAAATGGGTGGTGTCCATTACATTCACACCCATTATAAAAGAGTTTTAAGAAACATTTATTTTGAGTGCCTATGTCCAAATCTGACACACTGCCAAAATGGATTAGACATCCAAAATCGTATTTGCAATGGCCATTCAGTATTTACAACTGTAGTACATGCTCTACACCTGATCTCAGCCAAAAGGCCAAATACTCTACTTAGTATGCTGTGTTGTTATTTACAGATAAAAAGCATCCATATAAGGAAGGATGGCGGGAGTATGCAACAGAGATTATAGTTAACTATGCCAGAGTATTCCATAGTCACCTATGTAAGTTAGGAATAAATAAAAATACAAAACATATAGTATTGTGTTGCCTAAATGAAAAACCAAAATGTTATTTTATTGCTAACTATGTAGTTATTAAATCAAAGGCCCTAAGTTAAGCCGCCTAGAGTGGTCGAAATGACTAGACAGGCGGG